CCCCAAAACCCCAAAACCCCAAAACCCCAAAACCCCAAAACCCCAAAACCCCAAAACCCCGTGAAGATAGGACCATTTCTAATATTAGATTTAAATGTTGTTCAAAACTTTGGTTTTATTGGCTGCCTTCCAGGTGGTTTTAGTGTCGGGTTCCCCTGAATTTGTGGGTATTGGTAGAGGGCTGGCGACTTCTACTAGCTCTGCAGACTGAAGAACCTGCATTAATAATAGTGCTCAGAGATGGTGTGCTTCCACTGGCACAGAACAGACTATTGGAGAGTGATGCAATTCAGGAGATACTACAGGATATTGTGCCTCAAGTAGTTCAGGAAATAGCTATGTTTGATCCAACTCCAACAGCATTGAGAGTATGTCTTCTAATTATAACGGAGGCCTCATACTATGTCCTGTTGATGGTACTATTTGAGGAGTCAGAAGTTATTCTCTTAGTGACAGATCGAAGAGATATATATTGAAGTCCTTATCAATTACTTCAAATGTAGTATGTTCATATAGATTATTCACAACCAATGGAGATGTTTCAAAGGTCAAGGTAAAGGCGAGTAAGCACTTTGGAGAGATTATATCTCAATCATTTCTTTCCTCCTCCTAAAATTTTAGCATAGTAAGCTTGGATGCTTGATGTGGCTTTCTCTCAGCCTGGCTGGCTTAACATCAGAAATTTTTCATTTTGTGTTTGAAAATTAGTAAACAAACAGATTTATCAGAAATTCATTATTTTTAGTAAAAGCCTAGATTTTTATTTTTGTTCAAACTTTTATCATGAAGGAGGAATGAGTTGTATATAAGTACTTTCGAATTGTCAGGAATTCTGAGCATAATCCTCCTTGCTATGGCTTGAAATAGGTTAGTTTTAGAAATGTTCAACCCTAATAATTTTCTGAGTTGGAGTATTATTGGTAGCTTTCATTCTCAATGAATCAATTTGTAAACAAACAGATTGACCAGAAATTCTTTCTGATCTGCAAAGCTTTTAGTTTTTCCTTATCTTTGTAAGGAAAATTTTTATGAAATAGGTTTTAGATGCTAGTATTCACTTGGAAATTAAGCTTTGAACAATGTTCATGATTTCTTGAAATATGAGTAACCATTGAGAAAGATAAAGTTATCGCGCAGCTTTGTATTTGCAACAATATTTCTCACTACTTTAAACCGCAAGTAGAAAAATCGTAATGCCTATCTAATCTCTAAGCTTTCTCCAACCCTTTAGACCTTCTAAGAACACACATAATTTCTCTCCATCCCCTCCTTGATAGCCATCGCAAATTGGCTTTCATCAGGGTTCTATTTTATTCATTCTCAATTTCTTACTTTAACCTTCACTATAGAGTCATTGGCCAATATGAATGCAACTCTATTCACAGGGCCGAGAGGCAAGAATGAGTACAAGTATGTAGCTCGATTGGCAGTAGATACTGAAGTGGGACCGACCTTTGATACTTCCACTGACATCTACATTGTCTTTGAGCCTTACACTTCAGCCAACAGTAACTCCATACAGGGAGTTATCCATTTTCAGATAGGAGATGGAGATAAATTGTAAGTGTTTTAATAATTCTTAGAGGAGTTGTTGTTATCGTAGTAGTGGTCTGAATCTGCTGCTGTTGCATTTGCTGCTGAGTTGTAGTTGGGATTTGCATTTGGAGAGCAAGGAAGAAGGGAAAGCATGACAAGAAGGTAGACAAAGATAATCCTAACCCAGAACCATCTTACGATAACTCACAAACCAGAAGACATGTTCGTAATGAGACCAGACATCAGTTGAGAAAAAAGGACAAAAACACAACATCATCTGCCATAAAGACTGAGAAGGATCCTGAAAAAGAAGAAAGTTCCTCCTATCATCTTCGTAAGTTGCTTCTAACCTTGTAGCCCCGATTAGGAACATGTACAACAGGCCAAATAGATATAATAAGAAATACTAAGAAATTATAGAGAAGTATGTTATGGCTGTAATCTTTAGAAATCAAGTTGTCTCAGATATATGGACCAAGTATCCTGAGTAAACAAACAGATTTTGCAAGATTTCAAATAACTGCCTCTATTAAGGGGTTTTGGGGTTTTGGGGTTTTGGGG